CTTGCGACGCTGGCATTCACGGCATCCCTTCACGTAGCGTTTGACACAGGCAGACATTTTAGGCCAGTAGTAGAGTTGCCGCACCCGATCCATAGTTCTCGAGTAGCCTAGATGGCCCGATGTGGACTCGTCGTGGCAAGCTAATAAGACGTCATCGCGAAGGGCTTTAGGCACGACGAGAAGATGAGATCTGTCACCAGCACCGGCGTTCCTTTTGTATAAGACGCCATTTCGTAGGCAAAATGATGGCAATGTTCGCGACATTGGACGAGGAATGGGCGCGGTGCCACCTTCTAAATGATCTATAATCATTCTTAGATCGGCGTCATTTCGTTGATGAGACATCAGATCAGGTCCACTGACAGTTGCCACGAAGGCGCCGTCCTCTTCTGCGCTAGTACTGGCGGATTGAAGAGGTGCTCGTGATAGCGTGTCGGCGTCTTCGTGCTTTTTGCCTGACTTGTACACGATAGTGACATCAAATTCTTGTAGGCGCAGACTCCATCGTGCTAATCGTCCTGAAGGGTCTGGTAGATTGGTCAACCAGCACAAAGCATGATGGTCAGTCACCACTTTAAATGGTCTTCCATAGAGATATGGCCTAAACTTTGTTATTGCCCAAATGACCGCGAGACATTCTTTTTCTGATGTCGAATAGTTGGATTCCGCGCGAGACAGTGTGCGACTTGCGTAGGCTATTACCCGTTCAATGCCATCTTGTCTTTGTACCAAAACAGCTCCAAGACCGATATTGCTGGCATCAGTGTGTACTTCAGTGTCAGCATCTTCATCGAAGTGGCCGAGCACGGGAGGGGAAGAGAGCCGGTGCTGTAGTTCCACAAAGGCAGTCTGCTGGTCGTCAGCCCAGACAAATGGTGTATCATCACGCGTGAGGCGTAATAGTGGCTCCGCAATGTTAGAGAAATTTTCAATAAAGCGCCGGTAATACGTGCACAGACCCAGAAACCGTCGAAGACTTTTCTTGTCTGTTGGAGGTGGAAAAGCGGTGACGGCATCAGTTTTGTCAGGATCAGACCGAACACCAACGGCGCTCACGACGTGACCAAGAAACTTTAATTCTTCGTAGCCGAAATGACATTTCTCACACTTGAGTGTGAGATCGGCCGATCTAATGGCTTCGAGCACATTCCAAAGGCGACGAAGATGTTCGTCAAACGTTTCTGAGAACACAACGACATCATCGAGGTAGACGAGACAGCTTTTCCACTTGAGGTCTGCCAGGACAGTGTCCATCATTCGCTGGAATGTGGCTGGAGCGGAACAGAGGCCGAAAGGGAGCACTTTGAATTCATAAAGTCCATGCGGCGTTACAAAAGCGGTCTTTTCCCGGTCACGTTCATCGCCCTCTATTTGCCAATAACCGCTCTTCAAGTCGACGGACGAAAAATACTTCGCACGTCGCAGCTTGTCCAGAGAATCATTGACTCTGGGCAATGGGTACACGTCTTTCTTTGTGACATTGTTCAACTTTCTGTAGTCGACACAAAGGCGAAGCGTGCCATCTTTCTTTTTCACAAGAACGACTGGTGACGACCAAGGGCTGCTTGAAGGCTGTATATCACGCCATCTTGAAGCATTTCCTTTACCTGCGTTTGAATCGCGTGCCGTTCGGTTGGCGAAACACGATAAGACTGCTGCCGTATGGGATGCGCGTCATCGTAGGTGATAATACGGTGTTTTGTTATGGGTGTTTGACGTATCTTCGATGAACGTGCAAAGCATGTGTGGAACTCCAGCAACAGCTCGCTCAAACGCTGCTTGTTCGCTTCAGAAAGCATTGGATTGATGTCGACGCTGCGGAGAGGCCTTTCAGCAGTGCCGATGGCCTCGGAAGCAAAACACTCGGTAAAATTGGCGACTGGGTCGGCGTAGGCGATGACAGTTCCAGGAAAAAGGTGCCGGTGCTCGTAGCTGAAGTTTGTGACAAAAACGTTGCAGTGATCATCACGAAGGTCAACAAGGCTTCTCGCTACGCAGACACCCTGAGACAGCAAAAACAAGTAATTGCTTTCTACGACTGCTTCACCGTGCATCACTCCGTCCCACGCCACCTGAACCACAACAATTGCATGGGGTGGTAACGTGACAGCGTCGTCGACGACGCGAAGAGACACTCGGGAGTGGCTGGGGTCGGCGTAAGCTGTTGTGGCGTTTGTGGTCGCGAAAGTGACTAGACGTCGTCGAATGTCAATTATAGCACCATGCTCCCTGAGAAAATCCATGCCGATGATCAGGTCTCGAGAACACTGCCGGAGAACGCTTAAACTAGCAACAAATGTACAACCGCGGACTTGCAGTCTTGCCGTGCACATACCGAGTGGCGTGACGATATGCCCGCCAGCTGTACGAATTGGCGTTTGGTTCCAAGGCGTCGTTACTTTCTTGAGAAGGGCGGCCAGCTTTTCGCTAATTATGGAATAGTCCGCACCAGTGTCCACTAAAGCGCTGACTTCGCGACCATCTAGCAGAACAGGAATATCTAAGGACACTCTTCCGCAATCAGCTGGTGGTGTCGTTGTCGATGTATCGTCGGTATCTTCAGTCCGCGTCGATAGGGAGCCTTGAGCATGACCAGTGTGAGCGGCTTTGCCCCTGAAGGTCGCTGAGGCTAGTTTTCCCGACGCGGGCTAGGTGACCGGCCCTGCGCCATGCCCGCATAAGTGCGATGATTCGGCGAGAACCGCCGCGGTGATGGAGAGCGTGAGTGGTGCCGAGATGTCGATCCGCGCTGCTGAGCAACGTAGTCAGCGATTTCCGGAGGCCGCTGGCCGAACCTAGGAGGTGGGGAGTTGGCCGAAAAACCACGAAGTCCCAGCTGTCGATAAGTGCATTGTCGGTAGATGTGCCCAGGTTCACCACAGTGATAGCAAAGCGGACGTCGATCGGGGGCCCGCTACACGTCTGATTTTCGCGGAATCGGTCGGCGGTCACTGAGGTACGGGCCCGCTTGGACTGCCTGAAGCATGGCTGGGGCTGTGGTATAAGGCGGAGTGAAATGTTGTGCAGGTTGGCGCAGAGTTTGGTCTGCCGGAAGCATGGCAGGGGCCGCTGTGGGAAGCGGAGCCAAAGGTGGTGCTGGCTGGAGGACAGTTTGCGCATACGACATGCGAGGGAAGTCATTTAAGGGCCGCGGCTCTGTCTGACAGGACGGTTCTCGTAGTGCCTGCTGAACTTCATCTCGGACGATGCCGGACAAAGAACTGACAGTGGGCGCTGAGGGTGCAGAAAACTTCTGCAGTTCTTCGCGAATTACGGAGCATATGAGCTCTCGGAAGAAGTCGACGTGGGCCCCAAGACCACCAATGTAGTCCGTAGCAGAAGCAAAGTTCACTTGTCGCTCGTACGTCTGGGTCCGTTGCCGAAGCGTGCTTTCAATCAGGACGGCTTCAGCAAGAAACTCTGACGTAGTCTTGGGGGGGCTGCGTACAAGACCACCGAACAACTGCTCTTTCACTCCACGCATCAGGTAACGCACCTTCTTCTCTTCCGGCATGTGAGGGTCGGCTCGTCGAAAAAGACGCGTCATGTCCTCAACATACATTGCTACGCCTTCATTTGGCATTTGCATACGGCACTGGAGTTCACGTTCGGCTCGCTCTCGGCGATCGGGACTTGCATACGTTTCAAGAAGCCGGCGTTTGAAGTCTACCCATGACGTGAACACACCTGCCCGGTTTTCGTACCAAACCCGTGCCCCGTCATTCAAACTGAAGTAGACATGTCGGAGCTTGTCTGTGTCATCCCACATGTTATGAGCGGCAACGAAGTCATAGTGGAGTAGCCAATTTTCAACATTTTCATGGACAGCACAATGAAAGGGATTCGGCGTTTTTGGTTTGAAGAGTGTATATTGCGATGGCGTTGCGCCTTCCATACCGGCTGGGTTGGAGCCGCTTGGGACGGCGCTGCCTGGAATAGTTGGGGCCGTCATCTCTTCAGAGAGAAGTCCGAACTCAGGGTCCAGTCCACGGATCCTGCGGCTAGCACGGTGAACAGGCATAACCACCGGTATGGGGCTGGAGCTTCTTGTACTAGGAGGGGTTCGGTGCATAGGGTACCCAGCACCTCCACCAGTTGTCACGTGCTAAGAGCTTGAAGGAACGTATAAAGGGACGCGACTGTCAAAAATCTCAGAGACCAAGAAGGACGTCTCCGCTGGCACGGGTTGCTCGTCTTCGTCTTTCTCGTTCACCGGCACAGAACTGACCCACTGTTCACTGGCACAGAACACCAGGTGGCAATATTAAGGACCATAGAGTTGCACGAGCTCCCAGCCGTGGTGGTCTAGTGGCTAAGGTACTCAGATGCCGACCCTCACATCGCCGGATTGAATTCCGGCTGCGGCGGCTGCATTTCCGATGGAGGCGGAAATGCTGTAGGCCCGTGTGCTCAGATTTGGGTGCACGTTAAAGAACCCCAGGTGGTCAAAATTTCCGGAGCCTTCCACTACGGCGTCTCTGATATTCATATAGGTGGTTTGGGACGTTCACCACACATATCAATCAATCAATCAATCAATCAATCAATCAATCAATCAATCAATCAATCAATCAATCAATCAATCAATCAATCAATCAATCAGTGCACGAGCTGCTATGTACTGATAGTGCTGTCATATACCGCACAAGACTGGCAGACTGTGATGGTACGTGTGTGTGTGTGTGTGTGTTGTGTGCGCGCGTGCACTCCCTTCTTTCTTTCTCTCTCTCTCTCTCTCTTTACACTACCATCTTTAAAAATTTTTATTCCTTTCCCCCTTTTCAGGGAAGCGTGTCACTGATTCTAAACTGGTTAACATCCATGCGTTCCCTCTCTATCATGTTTTCCTTCCTTAAAGTCTCCTATGTCAAAAAAGAAAAGCTGTGGTTTATTTTGTTTTTTATTTCTCTTTTTTTGCGCCGATAAACGATTCACGCAGAGGAGGAGGACCTAAACGCAAGAACGGACGCTGAGTTTCTCCTTCGTTTCCTGCGCGTCAGGAAGTACAACGTGGATGAGGCCATGCAGACCATCAGAAACTACTACCAGAACCGGTCCACCTGTAAATCGGTTTACAGAGAATTCATTCCCTCAGCGGTGCCCCTGTCAGCGCGCAAGGTATGCATGGTTCCGCCTGGCAAAGATCGCCAAGGACGCCCGATCTTCCTTTGCAACATAGGCAAGTAATGCTGTACTGTTTCAGATCTTTCCATAAGTGCTGTGGTGGTTGTTGTGGTGTTAAACAGCGTGAGAAAACGTGATAGTGGTTGCGTTGTACAGTGAAGCTGTCATAGTCCACCGTTTGCTTCGTCATCGTCGCAGTGGTTGTAGTAGTACTAGGTGTCGCGCATATCACGTGACTATACAAAGACGAGAAATAATATTGATGGAGTAGTGCACAAAAGACACAATCATGCACACGTAACGCTGACGTAAGGACAAGCGCCATGTCTGCGTCTTTTCTCTTGCGTGCATGAGGTCGTCCTGGGTGCTTGGTTCCGTCACCTGGTATATCAAGCGCAGAACTGTTACGTCGGCTGGAACTGTGACTTTTCCTCCTCCTCTATAACTTTCGTGTTCCCTCGCCAGTGCAAGGTAGCTCTCCCTCCCCATCACGTTACTTTTTTTTTCTGATCTCCGGCACGCATTATTAGCAATACGAACAGCATGAAGCTGTGCCCTTGTGGCCGGCTTTCCAATGGTAATAGAGACGATGCGATCTGGGGTTGGGTAAGTGCCACTCCTGCATTCCTCGACGTCACGGGCGCTACATATTTCATCTCCCTCTATACATAAATTTCTAATGTATGCCAGACGACATCGCTCCTTTTTAATACCTCCCCAGGCAGAGGCATACCGTGATAAAAAAATAATCTGAGTGAACGAGACGGAGACCGAGTGGAAATAAATAAACAATATAACGAAAGCACACGTCCCATCACAGACAACTCCACATTCCTTGAACTTAGGATGCTTTTTAATGACGGTCAAAGTACGGCTTTAGGTCACGTAATGCAAACTTTGACGGGTTAGTCTACAATCCAATCCATTTACTTCCTTGGCATCAGTGCGCTCTGACAGTCAATCCTAACTCATGCGAAGAAAATGTTGTATTTAGGTTACGGTAATGTTAATGCTTTGCCATGTAAAGATACCTTCTGCTTGATATCTTATAGTCAATGGACGTTGTCTGGACACATTATTCCATGGCACCAAATTAAAGGTTGAGCATATCTTAGGCCAGTTTAAACGTTGAGTGTCCTTTAGACCAGGGTTCCCAAACACGCGAACTGCGGGTCACGTGCAGCCTGCGAACTTTTCATTTTGGTGTATACAGACGATGGACGGATGAGTCACATGACAGTAGGAACGCGAGTGGTCCGTTCACTTGCGCCGTATGCACGAGCACTTCGAAACGGGAGAGATAAAGCCCTGGTCGAGACTAGCTTAAACCGCAAAAGACGACGAGTGCGTGTCTTCAAAGCGAAACCAATTGCTCGAAGAGCCACCGGTGTACTCGGTTTCGGAAAAAGAAGAAAAAAAAATCCTGTTTTGTTGACGCCGAACCCTCCGACAGATGATGGGGACGGGTGGTTTATGGAAATATTTCTAGCGTTTTCGCACCCTGGTCACCGGCACAGCTTTCGGTCCAACCGGAAGAGGACGGTCACGTGACGGTGAGACCGCGCGGGATAGAAGAGCGGTTGGGTTCCTCGTCTGAGTACACCAGGGGGCCTCTGGCCTCTGTAGATTTGTTGACCCTCTGCAGATTTCTTCCAAGGTGTTTGCATATGTTTTGTTGACGCCCTCATTCGGCAGCGACTGCATGACTGCCGATATCTCTACTGAATCAAATGCCTTCTCATAATCTATGAAAGCTATGTATATTGGTTTAGTGTACGTTTCTTTATTGCCTTATTTATAGTATGAATGTGGTCCATTGTTGAGTAGCCATTTCGAAATCTTGCTTGTTCTTTTAGTTGATTGAATTCTAGGGTTGTCTTAATTATGTTTGCAATTACTTTTGTAAATAGCTTGCATACGATGAAGAGCAAGCTGTTCCTCTTTAGTGTCCCTTTTAAAATGGCGGTCATCGTGGAACTGGCAGGGCTGATAGGAACTAAATCAATTTCCAATCTTTTAAGAGCCATCTCACTTAAACAAAGATATGCAGTTGTCAGTAAAGCTACTTGTGATAACGTTAGCCATTAATCATACTGTGCATTACATTTCAGGCCAATGGAATTCGCGCGAAGTGACGCACGCTGTCTTTCAACGCGCATGCCTTATGTGCCTTGAACTTATGACATCGGATCCGTCAGCACAGACTCTCGGTTTGGTTCTGATCTTGGACTGCCACGACCTTCGCGTAGAAAACGCGCTGTCATTGAAACCTGGACTCATCAAGAAAGGTTTGGAATATGTGCAGGTGAGAAGTACTAGCTAAAGTGATTCAGAATGACAGTGTACAGTGTGAAGCGTGTTTTACGTACGTTAAATACAACAAGCTGTATCAATTAAAAATAAATTCTTGCAATGGAGAATTAAATTTGTGTCATTAACGTATGATATTGCCACATTGAATATGCAGCACCAAGAGAACCTCGTCTTCTTCGCTTGTTCTCTTGGTGCTGCATATTCAATGTGACATTGTGACAATATTGACACCTGGTGATACATTGAAGATGTTACTTCGACCTACATCTAAGCCTTAATTTTTGTGGGAAAAGTTTTTGCTCCAGTCTATCAAGAAAAATCATTAACAATTCATTCAAGCTAAATTGCGAGTTGGGCTAGTTGGTGGATGTTCATCGTAAACTAACAGCGCCACAGAATTGGAGTATACACAGAATAAGGGAGCAGGTTAAGAGGGTTAAAAATGTCACCAACCTCGCCTCATATTTTTCATTATTATGTACTAGCCCCGAGAAGTTGGAGTGGCGCCCCTAGTGGGAGGCCGGGGTGACGTCAGGGCAAGGAGTCTTCGACGCCCACCGTCGCACACCCGCAGAACATGCGTTCGCCTGTAGTACGCGCTCCCCCTTGTTTGCATTCACTTTTGCTTGTCGCAGGCTACAAATGAATGGCGGAAACAGCATCAATAAGGTTCCTCGTGAAACATTAAAAAAAATTGGTTTTGCTTCCGCCAAGGGTGCCCGTGCTCGATCGATCAAAAATCAAAACGAAGAACACGTCTGCAGCTAGCAAAATTATTCCCATATAATCATGCGATTTGGACCTACAAAACACCATAATTGCAGCGTTAGGTTAAGTTATTCGTGGGTGATTTTATTTCGCCTGCACTGAGGTTATTTGTGCCGGACGCGTAGGTGCATCTACGGACTGTGTTTCTACCGGCGAACCGCGCACGCGTGCAGTATCTAGTCTCGCAAAATATCTCGAATACGCTCACCCCACAGAATACCGCCGCAGATGTGCCAGTTGTTCTCGCGTATTCTTGCTTAGTCACCATGCTCTTCAGTGTTATGTTTTTCTCGCGATAGTTCCGGTGCTTCATTTCACAGGCATAACGAAGGTCAAGTGTGGAAACTACCAGCACTGTCAGATTGTGTCATCGTGCAGCATCGTAGCTGAAGTACGCTCGTACGTATCGTATTACACAGCCAAATTGTAAGTTGGCTTCCTTCTTTAGTTTATCCCCCTTGAGCATCAAGCTGTAGGTAGACTCGACGTGTGAGATCAGTCGTCGCCCCCGAGAAGCGAAGATTGTTTAATTATTACGCGGTACACTTCTGTAGCGGAGTGCGCCATCGAAAAAGCTGATTTCGACCATGGCGCTTGATTTTCAAACGTTGATATCTGAGGTGCTCACACATGAAGTTAACATTACCCTTTGTGACGTGACAGTATATTGTACCAGCGTTTCTCGCAAAATAGGCGTTACGACTACATAATCACCGCTGACTATTGAGGTGAAATCTGTGCATAGGAGTCTCTTAAACGGAGAAGACAGCATTCCCGAAATAGTTGTGCGTGCGGCCACATTATGTTGTGTAACTTTCCAAGTAGGTTAAATGAATGTTTGTGACAGACAGATTGATGTCAAGTCTGTCGTTGGAGAAAGCGCCATTAGAGCAAATCACGTAGTTTTTTTTTGCAGAGGCCGTAGTAACATTCATGGTAAGCAACAACGCAGGTAATGAATTCAAAATGTCCGAATTTCGTTTGTAGTACTTGGGCACACATGTTTAAACCCCTCAGTCTATGCCTAGTATATTGAAGTTAAAGCCGCGTAGCCTGCTTTCATAGCACCAATGTTGGAGTAAGCAGTGAAAATAACAAACGTCGCGCTGTCCTGCACGACGATTTTCACAGTGAATCTCAGTGTTCGGACGGGAGCTCACCTATTCCAAGCTATGTCATCAAAACTTTCTACAGCCTAAATAACTTCCAATAGCTATACGAAACCTTCCACCTTGTAACTTGAAAAATAGTAATCAACGACATATCGCTGAAGAGCGGGCACACAATGGCCGCAGAAAAGAGCAAAACGTGGTGGCAGAGCAGGCGTGTCTTTGCAGTGACGTCACATCGCCGCAGCAGCAGCGACGCCAGTGTTAATTCTCGGGGCTAATTGTGCTCATAATCTGAAAATGATGTCTCCTCTTGCAGTGACGATTCTGTATGCACCTGCCAGGTATAGTCGAAACAGAGGTAACGAATTGCTTTTAAACGCTGTTGCTTCCTTTAAATGAGAAAGTAAACATTCTCCGAAACGCGAGAAAAAAACTAGCGTGTATTGCGACGACGGTAGCTGCTCTTCTAGATCATTTTATTTTCTCTGATAATTTACCATGATGAACCTTTCAGGACTGCATGCCATCGAGGCTGAAAGCTTTCCACGTTGTGCGACAGACGCAGGCTTTTGACATCTTGTACAGTCTCATGAAGCCCTTCTTGAAGAATAAGTTGACCAGAAGGGTAAGCGCGTCTCGTCTAGTTTGCATTATTTTCTGAGAACACCACGCGCGAAGTCTAGCGGATCACTTTTAAAACTATTATTTCAATGTTATATCGTCACAGTGTTGTACATTTTCGTGTATTTTGATGAAAAATGAATTTTTGTACTTTCATTTGTCGTGAGCGCATTGACTCAATAGATTTCATTTTTTATCACGTGTTAATTCTAAGTCACTAGCACTTTTAGTTAGCTCAAGCTACATTTTTTTTTGAGACAACTGAATTCTTGAAGATGACAGCGATAGAAACAATTACAGGAAGAAGAACCAATCAAGCGTTCATGTAAGCTGATGTAGTGATGAAAATTATCACACATTTACGAACTACATTCACGTAGGTGCATGAATAACAGCACATATTACAGTCCAGTTACATAACGCTAATAATAATATCGGGGGTTTCGCTTCCCAAACGTAAGATATGAATATGAGAGATGCCATATAGTAGAGAGCTGCAGAAACTTTAAATATACGGTGTTTTTTACGTGCAGTAGCATCGCACAGTACATGGGCTGCATGCCTTTTATGTATTTATTTCTGCTTCATATGTTACTTTGCCCGTGTGTGCCAGCGTTTTTTCTTATTTTGTCTTTTTCATTTCGCAATAGCTAACGTAGTGTACGTATGACATGACCGGTATGATTGCTAGAGCCTTTATTAAAACCTATCGCACAACGTTACACTATCTGCTCATGATTTCGTCCGCTCTTAAACCCCTAGTTAATACGGGACTGATAATTGATATCTTCTCAGCTTAAAACCTAATCTCTTTAACACCACGAAGTGGGACAATTTATATATATTTATGTTTACCGCATACTTGTAGCTCATAGTGAGTTCTTATTTCGCTATCAATCAACGTTTACTTTTTTGGTATATTGAAACACTTTGGCGCTTAAATTTGCCACTGGCTACTCCTTCTTTATAAGGAGGCCGTTTGACTCATCAAGTCAACTGCAATAACAAAATTTCAAAAAAAAGAGAAGGCCATTCACGAAGGCATTTTCACGTGCCTTTAATGTTCACGGTATTGAAAGAACATATATGAGTATTCTGGCTCGCGTAATGCTAGATAATATATATGGTGAGAAAGTATAAAATATATCGGACACTGACAAATAACACCTCCTAATGAGCGTCAGGTTTCATGCGCTAAGCTCGCGTACTCGAACTACATCAAGAACGACACAATCTCGAATGCCTGCAGCTGCTTGATATTTGTTCTAATTCTTGCCTATCTAACTTTTTTTCATTTCTAAGTTTAAATTTCACGGGGAAAACTTCGAGAGCCTCCACAAGGATATTTCACCGGAAGAACTACCTCCAGAGTTTGGTGGCCAGGCACTACCACTCGACAACGATGCCTTCTGGAGCAAAATGGACGATTTGGAAGCTGTCTTCCAGAGCGATAACCAGTACGGATACACCAGTAGGGACGTCGGTGGCTTCGCTACTCAAGAGGAAGTTGAAGAAGCGTTGGAGTTCATTTGATATAGAAGGAAATTTCAATAAACAAGTGTTACGTTGACACAACGGGTCATTGCACCACGAAAATGGTTCAGTTTCTCCATGGCCCAGTTACTGAGAGTAACCTTCAGAGGCCTTGCCCCTCTCCGAGAAGTTGTGCAAGCCCTTGGTGCTGACGGGTTCCGCTGGCTTATAATCAGTAAAAAAAAAAAAAACTGGAGCGGTGCGAAGCATGCAGTGTGCGCCTGTGTTTTTCACAGCAAAATTGCTGCTAATGATAGATTAGCTACAGAAGAAGACAAGACGAAAAAAAAGAAGAGGCTGACCGAGCTATAGTCGGTGACAACCTAAGAATAAATATAGGTTCCACCCACAAGGCCTGATTGCCCTTATTTTTCATGCCACCGCCCTACAAAGGAAGTAGTTCCCTAACAGTGGCCATAATTTTCACGCTGTCCGAACAGACAAAACGCGGTGAAGCTCTGCCGCTTCGGTGCGCTTGAAACACTGAAAAATCATAAACGCCATCATCGAATGACGGCTGAAGATGATGATGCTGAGGGGGAGTGGATAAAATAGCTTCTTTTCGACGAAGAAAACATCGCAGAAAACCGAATGGACGCCCGATTATCTCAGTGCAGCGGCGCATCGCCTCTCGTCGCGAAAGGCGCCATGCTCAATTTGTCATTGGTTCAATGTGACTCCTACGTCCATTAAAAGCTGCCGCAGTTGAACGCGCGCATAATACAAATGGACAGTGGTACACTTTACTTTTTATTCTTAGCTTGTGACCGACCATAGTTCACCACATTGCCTTGAATCGGACATGCATAGTACCAGAAGGGTGTTTCAGTGGCACTAACATCTTTGGAAAACTGTGTCGCAATACAACTCACCCTAAGGTTCTTCTTCTTCTTCTTCTTCTTTGTTTGTTAGTTTGTAGCCTAGAATCCATGGCTCATATCCACTCTGGGCGATTTGCCAAGAGAACATATAGTCTCAGATGGATGATAACTGTTCTATAGCTTACAACAAAAAAAAATGGGGGGGGGGGTGGGTTGTAGAGTGAGGACAGTATATTAAAAAAAGATCGAAACCAAAGATTCAGATAGTGAGAAAAAATCAACAAAAAAGTAGACACTAATAGCGATATCCTCTTCTTCTGTTTCTTTTTCTTCTTCTTTCTATTTTCTTTCTTCTTCTTCTTCTTCTTCTTCTTCTTCTTCTTCTTCTTCTTCTTCTTCTTCTTCTTCTTCTTCTTCTTCTTCTTCTTCTTCTTCTTCTTCTTCTTCTTCTTCTTCTTCTTCTTCTTCTTCTTCTTCTTCTTCTTCTTCTTCTTCTTTGGTATCATCAAATCATTGGTAAATCTGACTCGACATGATAATTTTTTAGACATTAACGTTGAACCTTTGAGTCGTAATACCTCTGTATGTACGAGTGCTGTACAGTGAAATTTATTCTGTTTTTGCGGCGCATAGCCGTTTTGATGGACCATGGCGACGACACAACACACCGGCAAGGCGATACAGTAAGGTGCTTTTCCCTAAAATGCTTATTACATGCTCACAATTTGTGAGTTTCTTTGAACATCCTAATCAGGAAGTCTACGCGTGCATTTTGATGCAGCTCTCTATTGTTAAATGCTATGTTTATTTCGACGAATTCAAAAGTTCTCTTAGGTTATGCCGTTCAAAAACAGCCGCCGAGTCAGATGAATGAAAGTGACGACGTATAGGATGCTCAAAAACGTTTTACCAGCAGGTACTTCTGGAGGTATTTAATGATACTTTGAGACTCTTCTAGTTCCCAAAAATTAGCCCACCTTCAAGCAGGGGCTTCTCACTGATAGCTGATAGAGTAGGACGGGGTATCCCATTAATATACACCCCTAATGTTGTCTTGAACAATCAATAAAATTACTGATTATTACCTTCTCCAGTATTGAAGCCGAAAGAGAGAAACTCTTTGTTGCGACCCTTTCTATCCCGTGAATATAATAAGTGCTCAATGTAAGTTAATAGAAATGACGGTAGGCAGTCGACTGCAACGGTGCCGCGAACAAAGAGATTTGCTCTCGATTCCACATGACCTATTTTGGAAAGATGTATGCTGTCAAGCATGCATCGGACACATACACATGCAAGAAATTGAGGGCCAAAGTAATTACCGTACTGTCACGCAGGTTGTAGCGCGGGCTGTGTTCTAAGTTCACTTATATGCAATCGTATAATGACTGTGTTACCTGGAGTAGCAAGTCAGGCCATTAACTAAGATAACATCTGAAGGATTATCATTCAACAATTTTCTTTTGAAAATTTATATGCGTAAAAATAGCCGCCTATCCCATCATCGTAATAATAGTATTGAAGAAACAAGCAAATAGAAGAAAAATATAGAAGAATAAAATAAGTGAATCTCCATCTGTCTCTCTGTCCATTCGTCTATCTAAGAACCACCAGTCCATTCATCAGTAGAAATATTCGGCTTCATTTGTGCTGTGAACTCATTTTACTTGACTGAACGCATGCTAATGAGAGAATCTTCATCTGTCCCTCTGTTCATTCGTCCATCCAACAACCCACCAATCCATTTATCAGTACAAATATTTGGCTTCTTATGTACTGTGAACTCATTTTACTTACCTGAACCCGTGCTCGAAATTAGGTTACTTATGAGTTGCTGAATTATGCTTCACTTGTATGTTTGCTGTTTTACCTTGTGCAATGTTTCGCACCATTGTTGTTTTTTTTGGTAGAATTTAACGTTTTGTTCGCTAAACCTAAAGTTACTGTACCTGCTACATTTGCGTAGCAGAGTATCGCTGTGTTTTCAAAGCGATGGTAGCAGCCATACATTAAAGATAAACTGATAGTCGGGCCAATCTTTGTGTTTAACGACGTAGCCACTGCAGCAAGCTAGATTAGCACTAGTTAATGTTAGTAAAGTTTCTTTCCGCTTCTAGACACAACAGACAGAGAGAGACAGTAAATTTTCTCCAGCGTGTAGGACTCCACCGCAAGTCAGAAGCGCTCATAGAAGCCCGTCGTTCTCAGAACGTACAAGAGGGCTTACACTGCCTTAAGGGCTGTCGACAGATGCGGACGGTGCTGTAATAGCACCTGCTCAGAAAGTTGCCGATCATCCAGTCGCCGCAATGCACTGGCAAGTACTTGTCTCTCTGAGGCAAATCGGAGACATTGACACAGTAAAGCATGCAATATGTTCGTGACGAAAACAAAAATGTATAAAAAAACGACAAAACACTGTACATTTTGGTTGGCAGTTGGCACGCCGCAAGCACATAGTCAGTTTGTAAAGTATAACCACAGACCCTATGAGCAACAACTTGGCGAGAGGAGTGTTTCTGTTGCTTTTGCTGGAACGCAGGGTTGCAAAAAAATGCTTAGCCATCTGTTTTCATGATAGCATCAACTTCGTACGCGTACGTTTACGTATTGCTAGTATATCGTTCGCAGAAGGCGACACAACTGGGGCTCCTAAATTGTATTCCCATTCTGTACATGCATGAGACTTCACTCGTTAGAGTTTTTTCCTTAACTACACAGACAGGTTTTGTTAGGAGAATGACAGCCGGTGCATGCCAAATATCTCTTTGCCTAGATGCCGTCCCGTCAGTAACGTTTGTCCAGAGTGGGTGGTAGAATCATCCTGCCGTTACTGTAAACATATATTTTTACAGAAAACAATGTCTCTTTCACTTGCAATCCAGCACTTGTGCGATAGGTTGTCAATTTTATAGACCCACTTTTAACATCAAGACTACTATAGAGGTGTCATGTTGGGGACGTACACAAAAAGGTCGATTATAGATGTGTACGACACATCGGATGGAGCACTGCCTTTCGAACTACAGCAAATCGCTGAAGACGACCTCGGCGAAACGCCTGCGAGAAGGAAAGAATCGTTGGAGAAGCTATCCAAGCTTATATCAGGTGAGTAAGTAAAAGAACACATGTACGCCGTGTACATTGAATTGGATTGCCTTGAATGCCCCGAAAGTTGCTCTTTCGATGTGACTTGCTACCTTTGCACTCATTCATTCGGTCTTCTTTCATGTACTAAGAATTGTTCGGAATTCTATCTTTTTTTATGTATACAAACAATTGACGCAGATGAGCCGGATCTAAACGCAAGAAGAGATGCCGAATTCCTGCTTCGTTTCCTACGCATGAGAAAGTACAACGTGGAGGTGGCCATGCAGACAATCAGAAACTACTACTACAACAGGTCTGGCTGCGATTCCGTTTACTGCGAATTTTACCCTTCAGCCGTGCCCCCATCTGCGCGGAAACTAGCCGCGGTGTTGCCGTACAAGGATCGGCAGGGCCGTCAAATTTTTCTGTGCAACTTGGGTAAGTATTGCCTCATGGCTTTGCAGGAGTGATACTGAACCCAGAAAAAAAAGAGATATAGTATGAAGAAAGGCAGGGAGGTAACCGGAAAGCAAGTACCTGGTTTACTACCCTTTATGGGGGAAAGATAATGGGAGACAGAAAAATAAGAAAAGTAGAAGGAGAAAGAGAGAGAGAGAGCGGGACGGAAACGAAAGCTCACACACACACTAGGAAGTCACAATCGTTGGACGCGTTGGGTCAATCGCAGACACTTAAGGAGGGCCTTCGTTGATTTTCGGCATGAAGCTTGAGCTTTATGGCATTCAAAAATTATTTTTTTTGAAAAGCGGCTGGTCGTCGAGGGGTACGTGCTAATATTGCTGACAGGTACTGTCTCTGACAGCCGTACTGAGGGCACTGACACAAAATATGTTCGACAATGTCGTCAACGCCGCAATGGTCATACGCAGCACTGTCCGATGCGGTAAACTAAGGCGTTCGTATAAGACACCCCGAGCCACATGCGGCAAAGAACGGTTGTCTCAGATCTGGATAAACCAAATGGAATGTTAAGTTGTAGGCACGGATCAAGGCGGTAAAGATGGGTGGGGCGAAAACCAGGCGCGTTCCAAAGAGACCTGGAGAGGGTGTGCGCAAGCCTGTTAATCCTTGCTGCTGAGTTGCTTCTTGAGAGTGGAATGGGATCCATCACACCATTCTCGCAAGCGTTCCATGCTGCACCGTGTGCATGCTTGTCATCAATGATTCCACAGTGGCCTGGTAACCATTGAAAAGTTACATCATGTCCTTTCTGTAGTACTTGGTAATACAGTTGCCTTGTTTCCAGCATCATTTGGTCATGGGTTCTACTACGTAGCGCAAGTTCGGGAAAATGCACCATTTTAGAGGTGCTTCTTAATCAATCCTGCGGAGTACGCAGTGGAGTGCCGCGAGCTCTGCAGCTGTTGATGTTGTTTTGTGAGACAATCGAAACAGTATGATTCCGGCATTTTTTGGGGAGATCAGACCTCCTGCAGATCTCCTAAAAATTGTGGAATTATCCGTATAAAGTTTAGCGTGGTGTTTGTATCCTTCATGCAGCGTGAGTCAGCTTATTCAAAGCTGGTGTCGAGAGATGCGCCTTCTTGTAAATTTCTGGCACTGTCAAGCGTAGATTTGGACTGTTCCAACACCAAGAGGGTGTCAGGATATGTTCCAGAGGTGTGTGGCTTGCTGGAAGGCACTCACGGTAACTCAATATTCTCTTACAGGACGAGGCACTCGGTCAGTTTTTTGGAAGCGAAGCAAGGTGGTTGGCAGGGGCGGGAGCGAGGTGCCTGCTATGCACTCGAAGCAATGATAGAGTATTGTGAATTGTGGCCGTATGATCTGTGGCGATTGCGATGGTCTTCACTGTGGACGAGCAGCATCATAGTCGAAAACAAACTCTGAGTGCCAGGCCCTGGGCGTTTTCGATTGTGCGTATACTATTTTGCAGGCGTTCGTCAAAACTGGCAAGCTGTACGGCAGGTACACCAGGAACAGTGTCTTGTATTGCTGCTATATTGCGTGCACTGACGTGCCCCACTTTTTCCCTCCGAGGAAGTAGAAAAGTTGGCAAATGGCTGTTAGGCGCTTCTTAAGAGTGGTCACATGGAAACTCCAGCAGAGATTTTAGTTAATGGTGATACCAAAGCACCTGTGTGTTCGGGTGTAGCAGGCGATTTGTCCTTTTGTGGCTGTCCATTGACGTCATGGCCGGCTTTAGCCGACTTCGTAGTTTTATTTGCAACTTCATTAACATAAGTACGACGCTATAGAAAATGAGCCGATGGCTATCTGTAGCATTTTTGTTGGATGTCAAAGGAGAATATGACAATGTTTCTCGCGAATCCATACTTGACTCCCTTGAGTCGGTTGGCTTGGGTGGGCGAGTGTACCGCTGGATCGGCTGCCACCTTCATATGAGATCTTTTTTTTGGAAACTGATAATGGGCTGACATCTGAGCATTACATACACCAAAGTGGTTTATTGAGCCCCACACTATTCAGCCTTATTATGATCGGCCTCGTGTAAAATTTACCAAAGTCTGTGCAGTCTGTGCAGTCTGTGCAATATCTTTTCTGCAGACGATGTTGGTGTTTGGACATCAGGTGCAACCAGTCCGCAGGTACGCGCGAGACTTCAGAAGGCACTAAACTCTATTTCGCCGTACCTAAGCGAACAAAGCCTCAAGATTTCTCCTGAAAAATTGCCGCTGGCTGCGTTCACGCGGAAGGAAATGGCCTCATATCCTGAACACAGAGGCAGGGTGTGGTAGTGATGGTGGAAGAGAACAGACACAAAGAGGGATTACTTGGGTCCATGTCATGACCTGATTGTCCCGATTACCCTCATGCCTATGTTACATCATGACATATGAGACATCGTGCAACATTAAGAGTATTTCAGGCATGCCGTGGTATGAATGACTTGGTGCGTAACATGCGGGTATGCGTGACATGGCAGGCCAAGAAACGTATGGCATGATATAATGGCATCAATTTTAAGGACCAAGAGACATTCAGCTCTTGAATTCGTGTATGTACACTTCACCATGTTCACCATCCATGTACAATTGACCACGTGATATGTCAGAACCCAATAACTCCAAGAACATAAGGTGGAAAGAACTGAAATTTTCAAAAGAGTAATGCACTATCTAAGGCTATATACAGCACTGACTTTCAGGATACAATGGTTCAACCTTGCATGTCATGATGCAACGTGCCTCTAGCACGAAATGTTCTTGTGGTTGCTGAGACCAATACATGCAACACCTTCTCAAACGCTCAAAACACGAATAAAAGAAAAAGCGCAAATAAAAGAGTTTTTTTTTCTTTGTTAGACACAATATTAGTGGGAATAAGAGACAATGATGCCGAGAAAAGCCCAGGGAATGTTATTAGAAGTAATTCTGATGTAAATCTGAAGAAAGATAACTTGTCACCAGCAGCAACCGAACCTGCGACATTTGAATAATGCGTTGCCCCGCCGTGGTGGTCTAGTGGCTAAGGTACTCGGCTGCTGACCAGCAGGTCGCGGGATCAAATCGCGGCTGCGGCGGCTGCATTTTCGATAGAGGCAAAAATGCTGTAGGCCCGTGTGCTCAGATTGGAGTGCACGTTAAAGGACCCCAGGTGGTTGAAATTTCCGGAGCCCTCCACTACGGCGTCTTTCATAATCATATGGGGGTTTCGGGGCGTAAACCCTGCAAATCAATCAATCAATGAAACAACGCGCCCGATTCTCTACCACTGAGCTACACTGGTAGTCAACCCTCCATCCACTTTATATGATAAATATGTGCATTTAAACGTGGAATAGTCAGTAAGTGCCGCCAGTTGCCAATGGAGTGAGTGTGGAACACTCTTTCCAGCCTGTTCAGTCCACGTAGCAAGTGACCTTTCTGCAAGCCGGCAGCTGACCATTAAGGCCTCGCATACTTCTTGAAGGCATCAAATCTGCCAGAACGAGACCCTTGCTATGAATGAAAGAAAAAAGTGTAAATTTGAGTTGTTGCTTTTTTGTTAGACATAATAATAATCAGAACCAAGAAACATTGATGCTAAGCAAAGCATAGGAAATGTAATAAAAGTGATTGTAGCGTAAATGAGAAGAAAGAAAAGTGGACCAAAGGGTAGCTTGCCACCAGCAGAGACCGAACGTGCGACCGTCAAATAAAGCATCCGATGCTCTACTACTGATCTATGGTGGCGGTCATCCCTCCATTCACTTTAGAGCATCGGACGCGTTAGAGTATTGGACGCGTTATTTGAAGGTCACATGTTCGGTCTCCGCCAGTGACAAGTAATCTTTTCATCCGCTTTTCTACATTCACATTTATATTACAGTCACTCTTAATACCTTCCCAATACATAATTATCATTATCATCATGAGCATCATTGTCTGCAAGTTCTAATAATATCAAGATACGAATAAACCCAGAGATAGTGTTAGCAAACGTATTGTTTTTAGATGGTTTCGACATTGACACTGACAAAAATACTCCCTCCATGGCCGGCATCGGCCTTTCAGTTATAAGCACTTGCAGCATGAGAACCAATAATGAGAATACGTTAGGAACACATTAGGATCTATTGACTCCTTCAATGTATTTGACGGGCATAGATTTCTACTTACCATGTTTTAAAGAAGTTATGTCTCACGCTATGACCATGTTTTTACGTTGTGAGCATCTATGTAAAAGGTTTTTTTTTTCGTGTGTGATAGGACATTCAAAGTATTTGTGTGGTTTATAAAAGACGAGTGGTCAATTTTGTTAAAGTGGTAAATTAATTTGAAATGAAATTGATAGCGTGTCGTCAAACTTCCCGCGTATTCTTGTGCGTTGTCTGTTTTGTGCATTCCGTATATAGACGGTAATACTTCGAAAACACTTGTTTATTTGTTTTTTCCTCATTTGAAGCGAGAGACAGAATATTATAGCGTCAATCTACAATGACAACGAGATATTTGGCATTTCATGCATTTGCCGTTCGTTAATTTGCAGGTGCGTGGAATCCGAAGAAACTAACGCACGCCGTCTTTCTACGTGCCATTCTTATGTGCCTAGAGTTCATGACATTCGATCCCTCAGTACAGACCCTCGGGATGGTTTTGATCATAGACTGCCGGGACTTCGCCATGGAAAATGCTCTGGCACTGAATCCTGGGCTAGTCAAGAGGGGAGTGGAATACGTACAGGTGAGAAGCGTTATGTTTGTCTTTGTCATGGCAGTACAATATGTGAATGCCTTCTCTACAATACCATAAGAGCCGGTGTGCAAGCAGGAGTCTAACTCAGGACCTTCTTCATGGCAGTCAGGTATTCTATCACAGAGCCAAGCCAGGAAATAAAACTACTTCACAAAACATTAAGGAACCTTAAAGCTTCGCCTTTCGGAGTTGTTAGCGATCCTCTGGTCTTATTGCGTACATCTAACACATAGTGCTCGAAACATTTTCGAGCTTGCTATGCACTCCCTATATATGTGGCCTTAAAGGAACACTAAAGTCAAATAAAAATTTACGTGAGAGTGAAAGCTCAATGTATGACAACGTCTACAACGAAAATATTGTCAACAGCAGAGCACTGCTTACCGAGAAATTATTGTAAATTCACGAAAACACATACACCGCAGTAGGACATTCGTAAAATGATGCCTATGATGCCAGAGTTACAGTATACAATTAATCACTAGTAATCGAACTTGCTGCATAAACAAAAAACCTTCCGTTCATCAAGAGATGTAATAAAATGCTGCTTGTTCGTTTCAATTTCATTCATGGAAAAAAGAACCACCGGGCGTTACTTTGTGGAATGGCACGAGTAGTCAAAAGTTAAGCTTTGGTGGACACCGGCATAAAACGCTTTCGTGTTAGAAACTGTTGATCAGTTGTCGAAGTGATAAACGTAGCCGAGAGACGTCTAAGATGGCTTTATGGTGCTGCATTCATGAACAGTTAGGAAGTAAGTCACCTACTAAGCTTAGAAAAAGCCTAGTAGTACAATGACAGATGTACATTTTAAGATAAATTTATCTATGGTGAGGTACGTGGCTGTTACCGCTGTGAATTTGGGAAATACCACAAAACTAAAGCGATAAACATATGGGTAGAGATTTGTACTCATTTTCAGTACTGAAACTTAAACGTTCACACAACAGGAGAGAACACAAAAGAATAATTCCAACCAATTTACAAAATCCCTAATATATTGCAGAAAAAGGCAACCAAGTGAACGCGCTACATAAATCAAAAGTGATAGGTATGATCTGCTCTCAATATTTGTTCTTGTCTTCTTTTTTTCTCGAGCAATTTACCGGTGAGAAACATTTCAGGACTGCATGCCTTCAAGAATTAAAGCATTCCACGTTATGCGACAAGGGCGAGCTTTTGACGTCTTCTTCAACATCATGAAGCCTTTCATGAGGAACAAGATGGCGAGAAGGGTAAGCAAGACTCGGCTTCTTCTGCTCACAGGCCACCGGCCATGGTGGTAGTATGGTAGTTACGGCCGGCACTTCTCTGCCCACTTAAAAGTCGTGAGTTCGATCAAGCCCGAAGGTGGTCGCATTTTGTCGGATGCAAAGTGCCATAAGGCTTGGTCCTGGGCGTTGTCAGTGCAGGTTAAAGAACACTAGACTGTCAGAATTTACGGAGCTCTACACTAGGGCATGCCTTGTGTACACAGTGTGGTAATGGCACGTAAATTTTTAGAAAGTATTGTTACCACACACGCATTATCACATGGTATAGATGCAAAAGAACTGGTCCCTATCGCAGCCCAAGTGCTACATAGTAAAATTATAAATGTTTGAGAAATAAGGTAAGTACTCTCGCAAAGCCGAAATGGGCGTGACATAAAGGGATCGTAAATATTTTTTTGCATTTTCACGTGAAATTTTGCTGGCACGACATTCCAAGCCCGCCGCTCGCATATTGTGTCACTCAAGTCGGAAAAATTAGGACTCTTGTGGTGACGCATGATAATGCCCAATTTACTCATTTTCAACAATTTCTTTCTTCGCAAGTTTATGTTACACGGAGAAAACTTCGAAAGCCTACACAAGAACGTTGCGCCGGAACAACTACCTCCACAGTTTGGTGGACAGGCGCCGCCACTGGACTACGATGCCTTGTGGAGCAAAGTGGCCGAGTTGGAAGATGTGTTCAAAAGGGATAATCGCTACGGCTACCCCAAGAAAAGTGGGGCCTTCGCCACACAGGAGGAAGTTGAAGAAGCTCTGGAGTTTTTGTGACACGAAAAAAAAATAGCGGCGGATACAATTAATTTGCGCTATTTCAATTATTGAAACCAGATATCCACTAGCACCACAGAGAAAGGCAGCATGCGGCCCGCATTGGTTGGAGACTTGGTGCAGAGCTTATACTGGCCAAATTGATGTTGTCGCATTTTTATCACATTTGCGAGAGAGAAAAATCAAACTCGTTTCATTTAATCGAAAATTAAAGTCCTTTCACTCTCATACTTCTTTACAAGCAAACAAAAATATGTGCGGCTCCTTTGCTCAATATAGTAGTGCTTATGGCGGCACTCTGCAGAAATTCAGGCAGGTCGATGCGATTGGCTAGCAAGCTCAGGTGTTGTCGTAAATCTGTCACTAGATTGGAAATACGACCGCTTACACTTCATAATGCAAATACAGATTACGCGATGTCCTGCGGACTCTGGTAATACCCTTTAGACAAACGATTCGTCTCGCCTTATTCTCAACAAGATCACGCGACCTGCGTGACGATTACTACTATCACCTGAACCACCACCACTACTACCACTACTAATACTACTTACTATCATTACTGCTGCTGCTACTGCTACTACAACTACTACGATGGTTATGATGGCGACGACGATGACGACACAGTTGTTAGACTCATACAGTTTCTCTGTAAACCAAGTACGAACGGGACATAAAATTAGGCGAAGACATAAGCTCTGACGTATCATAAGTGTGGGTGCATGTTAAGCATAGTAGGGCTCATAGTGAAAATGGGGACATGCAGCCTGTACACACAAACACACACACACACACACACACACACACACACACACACACACACACACACACACACACACACACACACACACACACACACACACACACACACACACACACACACGTATTACTATGCAAATGATAAACAAGGCAGTTCTCGTTACCGCGGTGCAATGTATTCCGTGCGCGTCATTCTCTGCAAGCCATCTCTTTAATCCACAGGCTTCTGCATACTTGCCGCTCAGCCTCTTCCTGTTTTGGTTCTGTCGTGCATAAAGAATAGAGAAAATAATCATCATCACGACCAACACCGTCGTCAGCTTCATCACCATGATTCTAAACCCTTTTTATTTACGTCTACTGCAAGATGAATGCCTTTCTTAATGATCCCTGATTTGTCCTCTCATGCGCTGGTTGATTACACTTCATCTCTGCGAACTTCTTTATTTAGTCGCTGCAGCTAACTCGCAGTGGCGTCTTTTCTCCACTTTAGGTATCCACTTCCTCTTGATAACTGCACTAAAGCAACACTGCTTTGTTAAAGGAACATTAAATTGCAACAATAAATTCGTTTAGCCTAAATAAATCCACTCTGAGAACAATACCGTCATTAATTTTACCATAGGAGGTTCCTTAATAGAGGAAAAAAAGTTTCAGCGGAAAGCATGATTACGTTGAACAGGTGAAATGGCGTTTGAATAATATCACAAAAAATCATTTTTCGATTTCGTGTCACTTTGAGAGAAATATCAAGCGCAGCTGCTGATATTCACACAGAAAAGAAAATTCTTACACAAAGTGATTCCACCACAAAATGTGAGTGGTTATCGGCAAAAAAAAAAAGCAAGATCCAGACCAAATTAAAGGCAATGTAACAGGAGTATTGGCAATTAAAGAAAGATCCTGGTCAAAATTAAGGTAAGGTAACAAGACTTTGTAATTCGATGTACTTTCCAAATGTTGTAAAATGATGTTGTATTGTATTGAAAATCGTTGACGTCTTGTAGAAGGGTCTCAGTACTTACGCGTTTCTTCTGTTTGTTTGCTGATAATTATCGGTATCATCCGCTTTCCACAAAGAAAAGTTTATTGAACCGCTACACTCAAGTGCTGCAAGCGCTAATACAATAAACACCCATAAATTGCGTCCGTATAAATTATTCAAACAATATAGACTCAATATTACGCAAAGAAATAATCCAGAGTACGCTAGTAAGCAACTAACAACAAAAACATCGTTTAAAAAAGCACCATACTTCTCAAAGATGTGGGAAAAGAAAAGAAAAGAGGGTGGTTGGGGGGGAAGGGGGTCTAGCGTGGGGAGTAAGGCAACTCATTTCTTCTGCTCAACTTAGTAAGACGGAGTTGAAAATTCCCGTTTTTCTTTCGTAACACGAAAAATAGAGTACTTAGAAAAAGTGGTTACCCCTTTGAAGAACTTTTTGCTCTGATTCCGGAGAGCAGTAAGTGGTCCCGGATCCCGACGAAGAGAAAAAATGAAAGAGCGAAATTGCCAGTGAAGCAAGAACGTTTCAGCAAAAAAAGTTACGCCTTTATTTGCTTTGCCTTGTGGTCAAAGCCTGATTTTAACCGAGTGAGTGAGTGAGTGATAGTAGTAATAACAGCAGTAGGAATAATATTAATAATAATAATAATAATAATAATAATAATAATAATAATAATAATAATAATAATAATAATAATAATAATAATAATAATAATAATAATAATAATAATAATAATAATAATAACATTATTATTATTACTATTATTACTATTACTATTACTATTATTATTATTATTATTATTATTATTATTATTATTATATTATTATTATTATTATTATTATTAAAGGGGTTTATGTCTCAAAACCACCATATGATTCTGAGAGACGCCGTATAGAGCAGGGCTCCGGTTATTTCGACCATGTATGGTATTCTTTTTAACGCATCTCACAACTACCTTGCAGCGCCACCGAACCTATATATTAGGGCTACGCAGGCCACACACAATGTAATACCCCGACGTAACGATTTCATTATCAATAAAGTCCAAAAATTTAAGCACTGCTTCTTGCACCCGGCGTAACGGCGATACGTGGTACGTTAGGAATTTCACGCTCGCGTTTCGCATATTCTGAAATATTGCAGTGATTATAGGCTGGTAACCGTAACAGCCACCGTAACTGCAATGCCGTTAAGGAACATGACAGCCCACATATAGCCTAGGCCATCCACTTTCAAATCGAATCCGTGCGTCTTACTGGCGCTCCGCCAGGACAGCAAGACATAAGTGGTGTAATATCTCATCGCTTCGCCTCATTTAACGCTCACAACAAAGCATTATATATATATATATATATATATATATATATATATATATATATATATATATATATATATATATATATATATATATATATATATATATATATATATATATATATATATATATATATTAAAATAGAGGTGTTGTACGTCGAGAAAGGTTCAGACGTAGCTTGGCAAAATGTCCTTTATCAGGCAGGTCTGGCTAATGGCGAGCGGCGTGCGCGAGCTACTACTGCAGCCACCGATCATCATCGTCTTCTTCGTTGCCAGCAGAGCGTCCGTTACTCAGATTCATTAATTCATTACAATTACTCCCCGCGAAATAAGGAGCCATCCTGGCGACCTATGGACAAGTAAACACGGGAGGGTCGTAGCAGGGCTTAAGTCTCGAGACATGGACAATTTCCTGGCCACGACGACGTTGGTCAGAAGATGGTTCCAGTGGCTCGATGAGGTAATTCACCGGTGACGTTTTTTGTAGCACACGATATGGGCCGTGATACTTGGGGACCAACTTGGTAGAAAGGCCAGGTGTAGCAGAGGGAACATGCAGCCAGACGAGTGAACCTGGATCGTAGGAAGTGGTGTTATTTGATGCGTCATGGTGGTGCTTTTGGCGTCCTTGGTCTTGGGTAGTGAATGCTCTTGCCAGTTGGCGGCATTCCTCAGCGTATGTAGCGGCTTGAGACAAAGTCGTGGACTCTGAGGAGTCAGGTTTGTACGAAAGAATGGTGTCCATAGTGCAAGAAGGTTCGCGTCCGTAAAGGAGGAAAAAAGGAGAGAACTTAGTAGTGCTTTGAATGGCGGTATTATAAGCGAACGTGATAAACGGGAGCACTCGGTCCCAATTGGAGTGGTCTGACGAGATATACATAGACAGCATGTCACCAAGGGTGCGGTTGAAGCGCTCTGTCATTCCATTGGTCTGGGGATGATAGGCGCTTGTAGTGCGGTGAACGACGTGGCACTCACGCAGCAATGCTGTGATGACGTCTGACAAGAATACGCGACCACGATCGCTGAGTAACTCCCGAGATGCTCCACGACGTAATACGATGTTGTGAAGAACGAAAGTCGCAACGTCTTTTGCTGTAGACGAGGGAAGGGATGAAGTTTCGGCATACCGCGTGAGATGGTCGACGGCAACTATGATCCAGCGGTTACCGTCAGCAGTGTTGGGAAGGGGACCATAGATATCGATGCCGACGCGGTCGAATGGTTGGGATGGGCATGGTAAGGGTAGCAAGGTACCGCTGGCGTGACAAGGGGGAGTTTTTCGTCTCTGGCACGTCGAGCAGGCCCGAACGTATTGTCGTATAAAACGGTACATGCCACGCCAGTAATATCGGAGACGTATGCGAGAATAAGTCTTCAGGAAACCTGCGTGGCCACATTGGGGGTCGTCATGAAACGTGGAACAAATTTCGGATCGCAGATGACGTGGAATCACGAGTAGCCACGGACGTCCACCGGGTGCGTAGTTGCGTCGGTACAGCACGTCGTCGCGAGTGGCGAAGTGCTCCACTTGCCGACGCAACGTGCGAGAAGGGGGGGAAGCCGTCCGCCCAGCCAGGATGTCTAGAATCGAAGCAACCCAAGGGTCCTTGCGTTGCTCAGATGGCATGTCGGCGATGGTGACGGCAGTGGCATCACAGGTTATACTTTCGCAGCAGTCCGGGTCAGGGGGTAGAGGCGAACGGGATAGGGCGTCTGCGTCCGAATGTTTCCGGCCGGAGTGATAGACCACGCGAATATTATATTTTTGGAGGCGCAATGCCCATCGGGCGAGGCGACCGCTTGGATCCTTCAATGACGACAACCAGCAGAGGGCGTGGTGGTCAGTCACGACGTCAAAAGGGCGCCCGTACACGTAAGGTCGAAATTTTTCTATCGCCCAAATAATGGCGAGGCATTCCTTTTCAGTGACAGAATAGTTGCTTTCGGCTTTGCTAAGAGTTCGGCTTGCGTAGGCAACCACGTACTCTTGGAAGCCGTCTTTCTTCTGTGCAAGAATAGCGCCTAGCCCGACACCACTAGCGTCGGTGTGGATCTCTGTGGGTGCCGATGGGTCGTAGTGTCGCAGAATAGGCGGCGACGTGAGGAGGCGGCGCAGTTCATTGAAAGAGTCATCACAGGTGGCAGACCAGGCTGAAAGGTCTCTGG